CTCAGATTAAACTTTTGATCTGTCATCTATGTTATATTACAAATAAAATATTGATATTTTCCATCTCCACATCATTGCATTCAGTTTTTATTCACAATTTATTTAGTGTCCCAACTTTTTTGGAATCCGGTTTGTACAAAGTAGAATGATCTTAGAGTAAGAAAGGCGGCGAGTGACATGTGATTCCTTCAATGCCAAATATTCTTTGGAGCACAACGATGTTTTAAAGATATAAAATTACAACAACCTCAACATGCTTGCTGGTTCTTTCAGCTGCTCCGTTCTGCTGGAGTCGCCACAGCAAGCGACTTCAAACATCTGGCAACTGTTTCACACCAGATGCCCTTCTTGACACAACCTGGACTCAAACCTGCAGCCCCTGCACTGGTGCAAATGTATGCTCTTTAAAATGGAAGTGGAGTCAGGGTAAATACAAAAGAACTGCTGATAAGCACTCATTGTGACCCTGCTGTTTGATATATAGTCTAAAATAAATGCCTTGAATGTTACATATGCCTTTACCAGAGGCTCCCCAGTGGATATTTATCATGTAAAAACAGAAAATGTCCCAAGAGACGCTGCGTATATCTTTAGAAACAGATGTAGAATTCAGTTTGCTTCCAGTAGAACAGATAACCTTCAAATTTAAATCTACATCAGTGAACACATCTGCTTATGTTAGGAACCTTTACAAATATTTTTCACTCGAGAAAAACTAACAAGTTCAAATACTATAAAAATAAGAATATGGCACATTATACGCCCGTCGACAAATTATTATACAAGGATCTAAAGCAATGGAACCGATGAGCAAAGACCTTGTAGAACCGTTGATCTTGATTTGTGACCTTGACCTTAAAGCTGGGATGGAACTTATTGCCCCCACATGTAAAAGCTACGTCTGAACTAAAAAAAAGTTTGTTTACATGAATAAATCTTGGCTAAAAGAAAATCAACGATGTGATCATTTTTAATACTCAGATTTTATGGGTGAGAACGTCTTTGTGGGAGTGTATGTATTTGAGTTAGTATTATATTCACAACTTTTAGTATGTTAGCTGAATGTGTGAGGATGGGGAGGTATTGAAGATGTGCAAGGATATTTATATAAATTTGGGGGTTGCAAGATTATTTTGGAGTTTGTAGAGATGAAAAGGTTTTGCATTTTTATTGTACCTACATTTTTTTAATTGTTCGGATTTTAATGTATAATTTTTATTATATGAATTTGGAGGTTGTAAGGTTGATTACATGATTATGTAGGGAGGAATACGTAGGTATTCTTACTGTATTTTATTTTGATTTATACATTTTATGTATTTTATGAAATGCCCGACCGCAAATTATATATACTCTTTGTGCAACGCATCAGTCACAGCTTGTTCTGTTTTATATTTGTGTGCATTGTCCCTGTCAAATTAACTAATAATAATAATTATTATTATTATCTGAAGCTATAAAGACTCATAAATCCGTAACCAGGATAATCACTAAAAAAAAACTCACTTTAATTGGTGATATGTGACCTATCTGTGCTGCTGATTATCCATGCTGCTGATACCATGCTGCTGATTATCTCATGCTACTGTATTCATTCATACCCATCTGCTCACACACACTCATAATCGGGCTGTTGTTGATATGCCAGAATGCTTAACATTTGTGTTTACCTCATGTGATGTGAATGACAATACAATAAACTTTTACTTAATTTTCAACTAAATGCGACACGCCCTCTAGTGGCAGAACAAATGTCTGTCAAGTTTCATTAAATTATCTTGAGCAGATCAGAACTTATGGCCTGGACAAGAACATAATATGTTGTATTATGACGGGCGTAAAAAGAAAAAAAAAATCTAAAGATTTTTATAAATATCTGCAGATGAGATGAACGCAACAGCACAGTAAATCTATTTGTTCAAAGTCTGGCCATAATTCAGAGGAGAATGTAAAGCCAAGGTTTTAAACTAAACTATTATTACGCTGACAGAAAGCAGCCATGGAAAGAGTTAAAACTGAGGGCAGCGTGGTTTAAAGCTCCCTGTGTCGAGACTTTTACAGTAAAAGGATCGAGTGGAGGACAAACGTCCAAAGCTTGCTCGGGTTTCATGCGTGTATTTGGGTTTGTGTGATTTACTTTGCTTTTGTTACAGTAAACTGAATATCTTGCGGTTTTGGACTGTTGTTTAGATAAAACATTAGACGGCATTCACTAAGTGGATGCAGGAAAATGGTTTTCCTGTAATTCTCATGGTGACACTGTCAAATGGGATAAAGGCACGCAATAAACAAAGCCATTTCCAAGATTTTAAATTCTTCAAAGAACAGTAAAAGACAAACGAGCAGGTGACAGACACAGTGGTGACTAATTCGCCTCGTTTTAACGGGCTGGAGCATGAATTTGGTCAGCAGCAGAAAAGCAGCAGCGTTTCTAAATGTGAGGTGGAAACTGGACGTGTTCATTTCTCCATCAAGGACAAATCAGATCCTAAATTTGCATTAGAGTGGCTAATAATAAATCCCTGCCCCCGTTTTGCATTTTGTGTCATCAGTCGTCCCATTCTTCATCCTGACAATGAGTCAGACTAACACCAAACATGAGTGATGGTCTGTCAGTCAGCTCTAACCTTGCCGTACAGTCGACAGCGACGCCGAGAGCATCCTGGGAAAAGGTTCCCGTCTCAGCAACACGAGGAGGATACAAACAAGCAAAGGCAACGAAACCCGTTCGCATCTTGCATCATCTGCATTTTAAAATAGTCGTTTCAGATCTGAGCGTTTCCTGACTGCAAATTTGAATCGAATCCACAATTCTGACTTTCCAACACCAGATGTTCAAAAACTCAAAACAGCTTTAAAATGGAAGTAAATCACGTTTTGCACCCGTTGTTCTTGATAAACTCGTGTAAAAGCTGATCTTAGCCTTCCATCAGCTGTTCAAAAGATTAAGGATGCACGATATTATCGGCAAGGTATCGGCCGATATTAGCGATAAAGTTAAATATCGGACATCGGCCATTCCATAAAAAAAAAATATATATATATATATAAATAAAAGGCTTCCGGGTTTTTTTTTTTTTTATAAGAAACTGTCAAGTATATCTATTAATGCACTACTACTACTACTTATACGCTTGTCACTTGTGAACAAGTTTTTAGATTTGTGACAATTTACAAATGTGCACTGTTCGCGTGTCGTCATAGAGTTTTAGAGTAAATGTCGTGAATAAATTTGACATTAAACATAATCCAAGTTGAAGTGTTGCATCATTTTCAGCCCCTTTTTGCCATGTAAATATGGTATCAGGCCAAACTGACAAAGATCATGCAGAATAATGTATTTTAATTCCAGAGCAGAGAAAGCTGTGTAGTCTCTGTAAGTAGGTTTAGGGGAAAAAATATCTGTATTGGTATCGGACAAAATAAGTTTTAACATATCGGCAAAAATCCAATATTGTGCATCCCTATAAAAAATCTATAAACTCAAAAGATTTGCAAGAAAATGACTTAGAAAAAAGAAAAATCGCTGTGTTTGTTGATGTGTGGCTCATCTGTGCTGCTGATTATCCATGCTGCTGATCTCATGCTGCTGTATTCATTCATACCCATCTGCTCACCATAGACTCATGTTCAAATGCTGATGTGACAAGGTCAAGGTTTCTTTATTGTCATTCGCACCACATGTGGTACATGTGGTGGAACGAAATTGTGTACACAGGGTCCCAGTTACATCCAGCAAAAGTATAAAATGTAAAAGAAAAACTCATAAGAGCTAAGATATAAAATACACTAAACTAATACACTAAGCACTAGTAGTACAAAAACAATACACCAAACAGCAGCACAAACATGAGTCTGTGTGAGCAGATGAGTACGAATGAAAATGAAATAAATCAGCAGCATGAGATCACCAGCATGGATAGTCAGATGCACATAACAATCAAGTGGCATTAGTGATTTTTTTCCCCCCCAGTGATAATCCTGATTAGAGATTCATGAATCCAACAGTGTCAGGGTAGAAGCTGTTCCTCAGTCTAGTGGTTCTACACTTGATGCTCCTCAACCTCCTGCATGAGGGGAGCGGGGCAAAACGTGTGCTGGGTGAGTGGGGTCATGTCGTATTGTTTTACATTATTAGCGTTTAGCATTTATCGTAGATATTTTAGCATAGTTTTGTATCTGTTCAGCGTATATATCTCAGTGTATCCTTATTTACTATTCTTTTTATACTTTATATTTTGCTGTTTTGTAGTAACTGGGACTCTACATCATTTCGTTCCACCTCATGTACGTGCTGGAAACAATAAAGTTGACTTGAACTTGGAAGTTTTACAGCACGTTTCTTTCAAACCCTTTGTTGCTGCAGAGATGGGAGAATCTTTTTGCAAGCCCTTGCAAAGATTATGCTTTTACACAAAAAATAAAGTCCTGTGTGACTTAATGCATAATCCCAGCTGGCCTGAAAGTGTTAACCCGACTGAAAAACACATTATGCAGACAAGTTTACACACAAGTACGGTCAGAATATGTTTTTCCCCTCAGTCAGTGATTTAAAGGTGAACGCTTTCCTGCCCAGTCGCAGCAGAACAGCTGATAGGGCAGACACTGGCAGCAGCGGCAGTTTTGTTTCTTGTTTAGATGTATGTGATAAGCTGGCTGATAGGTACACGCATCAAATATTCATGACCTTGTGCCTGATGAATACTGTATAGAAGCAAGATTTAGTCGGACTCCTGCTCAGCGCAGTCAGAGCAGAACGTACATCAACCTGTGGGCCAGAACCAGCGCATGAATACCAAACAGATGAACCCCCCCACCCTCGGTCCATGTATTAACTTATATCCAAGGTTGAATTCTGTTCTTTTAATACAGCTTCTAGATAATGTCAATGTATAAAACTGATGCTTTACTACGGCGAGACTTTAGCTTTAAATAGAAAAACCTCAAAGTTAAAAAAATAAATGACAATCAGTCCAAAATGGTTTATTTTTTTTAAAGGGGGCAGGTGGAGATGAGAAAACATGGTGCGCAACTAAATGATATATTCAAATGTACATGAAATTCAAAAGAGGATCACAGTTATCACTCGATTTTTTTTTTGTTTGTTTTTACACACACATGAAGTTTTCACTCCAACATGTTTCCAAATGAATAAAAAGTTTATATAATTTTCAACATAAAAATATGTATCAACACAATAAACTCTCGGGATGTTGACAACAATAAAAAAAAATACATGCAGAATGTAGACTGATGAGTTTTGCTTCCTCAATTTGGAAAAACAACTAAAAATAAAAACAAAAGAAAAGGTGAATGTTTAACATACTGTTAATTTAGATAAACATTGTGAGTCCTACTGCCCTTTTGTCCTCACTTAATTAAATCACATTAGTGGAAACTGCATTGTTTGAGTCTTTTATTCACTATAATGTATAGGTCAATAGGAAATATAAGAAACTGCTAGTAATGACAACTTGAGTGATCTTGGCTAGCCATTACAAACAGCACGTATGAGTTGAGATGTCTCATGGAAATCACTACCCAAAATAAATTACATTTGCCAAAACCTAACGCACAGACTGGTTGGGAGAGGGGTTAGGAAGAAGGCTGGTCCAGATGTTGACCAACCAACCAAATGACATGTCAAACACACTGAATGAAGCTCCTCTGGTGCGTGGAGTCCAGAGGTGCAGCTGTAGAGTGAGTATAAAGGTCCCAAAGTAGAAACTGCAGTCTTAACATGTGCCATACTTAAAATGTAGAGGAAAACACCCTTACACTCATCAATATGATGAGCAGAAAAGTCCCAAACCAAAGCTTTGAAGTCTTTATTTTTGCTATCAGGAAAAGAAAAAAATAAAATTGAAAAACAAAAATAAAAACACAAAACGGGAGAGGGAAGAATCGACTCCAGATATTACGCTGAATGCAGAGAAGATGAACTGCACAAATTGGGCGGGACACTCCGGCACAGAGGGGTTATTTCCTGGAGCTAGACTTCTAATATCCAAAAGTACTGGTCTGGAGGACCCATATTGGTCAAAGGGATGTCCATGGAGATGCCTACAGCAAAATACCTCAACAGTGGCATCTTGGCAGGCTGTCCAAGAGTGACGCTATGTGCTTCCTGCTGCTTGGTTCTCACCTCCCTCTGAATTACCTGCAGGAACAGCGGGGCAGCGAGTTAATCACCGTGTTGTAGTTGAGAAGTCTCACTATGACAAATCTAACGCTACATGAAGAGAGGGACAGAGCGATCTACTGGTGGTAAAACGTGACCAAAGAGAGCATGTCAGTTTACATCGAGTATTAAAACGCACCTCCACATACGATTCAGGCGACACACGAATAACATACAATTAAACACGTAGCTTATCTCACAGTCAGCTGTAGTGGGTAAAACAAATCATCATCCACCCATTTACACCTTGTTATTGTAGGTTATAAACACTGGCAAGGCTGGCTGTCAAATACCAAATAATATTTAGTCTTGACATTATTTTCCTAAATATTAATTATGAAATAGAGATAAAAAGCAGCATAAAATGGTAAATATGCATTCTTGATAAGTTTTTTTTTTTTACGTGCAACCAAAGAAACGCAAACCAAAGACTTTCAACCTGATAATGCATTGTTGTTTTTTTTTAAACTTAGTTAAAACCTCTTGCATTTGAGTAAATCAATCAACCAACTCAATCCTTTTACCTTGCAAAAGCAGTTTTATACGCCTGCACCTTTGTGTCCAGACTTTGGCTGGCTGAATATACAGCAGTCTCTCGGTTACGTTGGGGGATCAGTACCCTGAAGCCCCACGATAAGGAAAAAAAACGCAAAGTAGGAATAGTAGTACAAGTAGTAGGTAGTTGTTGATTTTAGTATTTATATATATTAAGGCGTTTTAAACCCTTCCCACACTCTTGCAATATTCTAAACAATGTTTCTAAACTCTAAACGTTCCACAGAATGTCATGATTTCAGCTCTCTGCCTCCGGCTGCACTCTCGGCCACGCCCACTTCTCCGCTCTGCACGGAGATCAGCTGATCTCCGTGCAGAGCGTCAGCTGCTTATATTCGATCCTCCCACAGCTGTGGGCTGCACACAGGTTCTAAAACATTTAAATAATTTATTTTAAATAAAAAATCCATGCCGATCGTGTGGCACAGCCATCAATCAGCCATTGTGTGTCATGTCCAATCTTACTTTGAAAAACCATGATAGAGTGAGTCCGTGAAAAATGAACCACAAAGTAACAAGGGACGTCTGTATGTGAAACTAAAATTTATGTCCGACTATCAGACATTTGGGTTCAACGTCAGCCTGTCGCAGGTGGACCGTAATCCACTGGGAGAAACTCAGTAAAATAAAATGATGCCATCAGCTCCAGCAGCAACCCGTTGACACGACTCATTTGTTTTGTCTGCTAAATGTACACATCCACACGTGGTGAAAGTCAGGAATGCTTTTGCAAATAAATAAAACAAATCCTGCTGCAATAATATAATAAACGCTGGCTGATGTGGCTGGGAGGAACCCTTACCAAACATATCAACCATGGGCTCATGAAAAATGTAAATGTGCAGTCACAAAGAAGAAAGAAAAATCACTGACTTGTAGCAGGAGTAGAAGCCGCAGCGGAGGCAGAGTCTTTATCTTCCTCATCACTGTCATCCTCGTTGGACTGCGGTACCTCTGCTGCGGGGATATTTGTTGCTGGGGGCTCTGTTTCCTGCTCTGCTCTGCTCTTTAGAGCTAAGATACGATGATGTAACGCTGCAGCCAGTTGACCTACGTCTTTAGAGCTACCCTAAAGGAGCAAAATGTAAACAGCTCAGCCACTTCATTATTACACACAGTCACACTACACTTTTATGTGTATTTAGTTGCACATTTGCTGCTCATAGGATTTTTTTTATTTTTTTTTAACATTAAAGACAATGTCAGATATTTTTATAATCTGGAGGTGCCATTTAATAGTTATAAAAAATAATTTTACAAAGGAAAATAATAATTGAAAATCTTTGAATCCTAAAAATAAAGACTACATAAACTTAGTGATATATTGTGTTATACGTACTGATATTAAGAAGACCTTGACCCCCTGGTCCTCTGTGTCCATGGCAGTGATTCTCACACTCTTCTCACTGGCCTTGTCCACCTGCATCTGAGGCCAAAGTTTAGTGTTGAGGATCAACCGCAGGCTGCCCTGAGTCCTCATCACTGAAAACATGCGACCACACAAAAACACAAAACAATATTAAACCACAGACAAAAGAAGCCACATGCAGTTTATTTTGCACTTTATTATGGGATTAACCTGTATAAATAAAGGTTGAATGATTTTTTTCTAAATTTAGTGCTGACACTTAAGAAATGCAAACACAGTAACTGTGAAACAAACCTAATTATTTTTAAGGTGTAATTTGAAAATGTCATATTGTAAATGTAAATGCAAAACGCATTATTGAATTGTATAAAGTCAAAAGTTTGACAAACCACAATTGCTTCTTTTTTTTTACATAATGAGGCAAGAACTTTTGAAGTGTGTTCACTTTTCTTACAAGATAAAATCAGTTTCTGATTTTCTGTTCTGCTTATAAGAACTAGTTTTTTTGAAGCAGAAAACTAGTTCTCATAAAGAAACTGGGCTGTCTTGTCTGTTTAATGAAATCATCGTGTGATTTGGCTCCATCTTGTGTCAAAAGTAAGGTATGGCAATAATAAGAAAAAATGTTTGACATTGTCTTTATTATAAGCAGAATTATTATTATTTACAAATAACGCACTGCTCAGTGAATCTTAGAAACTCAAAACAGTTTGCAAAATGGTTCTTTTTCTTCCACACTCCATTGAAGGTCGTGAAGATTTACCTAGACGAGAATGTAGCGTGCCATCTTCTGTCGAAGCCATGTCATTGAGTCTGAGCAAACCTCTGCCTCTTTCTATCCACGACTGCGCTGTCTTCTCAAAAACGTACAACTTGCACTGCATCTGCAGTTACAGGCCAAAACAAAATCTGCATCACTTTTTGTCACGTTAGTTTCACATGTGACTAATCCAGAGGGCCTGCCTTGTTAATACCTGTAACACGTTGCTTTCTGACTCCTCTCCAGTCTTCACATCGACTTTCTCTAAGATGCACTTCTTGGCTGTTGCTTTGGTGTACGCTGCTGCAGATTCTGCCAAAGACTCTGACACATTGTTCACTGCTGGGACAAAACACAAGGTAAACACCGGTTTGAGAGTTTGCGCTTGTTTTCACTGCTAAATTAGAATCGAGGACTCAGAGAAAATCACAGAGCCACACCTGCAGTCCATGTGTTAACGTGGAAACTAAACAGTTTGTTGTGATTTTTTTTGCAGAGGTCACTTGAGCTTGAGTCTAAAAACTGAAATGACTGCTCATCACACTCAGACAAATCCTTTCTGCTGTATCTACAGTGGCTTGTGAAAGTATTCAAGTAGTATGAACAGTATTCAAGTATTCAGCCCCTAAAAAGATCTGGTGCAACCAATTACCTTCAGAAGTCACATGATTATTGAAATGAAGTCCAGCTGTGTGTAATCGAAGTGTCACATGATCTGTCAGTACATGCACACCGTTTCTGAAAGGCCCCACAGGTTGTAACACCAAACTAGAGGCACCACTAACCAAACACCACCATGAAGACCAAGGAGGTAAACAAGTCAGGGACACCATATCCAGCAGTCACAGTGCAAAAGGCAGGGTACAACCTGGACAGGTCTCCAGTCCATCACAGGGACGCATGGAGACAAACGAGATAAACAACCATTCACTCTCTCACTCACACAACAGCAACAATTTAGTTACCAATCAGCCAAGCATGTATGTTTTTGGTCTGTGGGAGAAAACCAGAGTACCCAGAGAAAACCACACATGCACAGAGAGAACATGCAAACTCCACCCAACACATCTCATCACCCCAAGATCACCATCCCCACAGTGTAGCATGGCGGTGGCAGAATCATGCTAAATACAGGGATATTCTTGAGCAGAACCTGTTTCGGTCCGTCAGTAATCTGAGACTGGGATGGATGTCCACCTTCCAACAGGACAATGAACCAAAGCTTCCTGCTAAAAGCAACACTTGAGTTGTTTAAAGGAAATGTGAAAATGTATTGGAATGGCCTAGTCAAAGCCCAGACTCTAATCCAATTAAGAATCTGTGGTTAAACTTGAAGATTCTTGTTCACCAGCAAAAACCATTTAACTTGAAGGAGCTGGTGCAGTTTTGCCTTCAGGAATGGGCCAAAAATCCCAGTTGCAAGATGTGACAAGCTCATAGAGATGTATCCAAAGTAACTTGCAGCTGTAATTGCTGCAAAAGGTAACTGTATAGTGATTTTTCACGAGGTTGCCTCTAAAGTCCAACCGGGCTTCTCGTTTATATTTAATATTAATCAAGGTCAATAATTATGTTTTAAAGACTGTATTTTTACCTTTCTCTGGTGTTGCTTCCTGTGATGAGGGCTCTGAAGCAGAAGCAGCTGAAGTGTCTTTATTTTCCTCAATTAAGGTCTCGCCCTTTGGGGGACTCTGAAAACACATCAGCGCTCATCAGTGGATTTTGCTCATCAACAGAACCGTGTCAGCATACAAGAGCACTAACTACTCTCCAACTTGAATTAACTTACCAGAACTCGTTCAGACATGTTCTGTCCGAAAACAAATTTTGCTCCACTGTCTGTACTGTTTGTGGCATTGTTTGAACTAAAAAGACAAAAATTAACAAAAAAAAAACAAGTCAATGCACAGCAGATAATAGATTAAACTGAGCAGCTAAAATTATGTCATATGACATTTCACATTACCTCGGGGTAGAGATGTATTGTAGGAAATAATTAGTGCTCTCTGATTGAGCGTCCGCTGAATTCTCATCTGTACTGTTTTCTCCCAACTAGAGAAAAACAAATTTTTTTTATTTTTTTTTTTAATACAATCTCAAAACCTCTCAGTAATAAAGACCTGGAATGCTTAAATGTCACAAATACTTTAGCTACGACAAAACTCTTATTTAAAACAAACAAAAAATTCCCACACGGTAGCTGCTTTTGTTTATATTTCATTTTGTTTATGCCCTGACATCAATTCTAGTGAATGTACCTTTATTTAAATTCTGCCATGTCACAACTAGTTATTTCAGTGTAGGGCTTTAACAGACTACTCGAGTAATCTACACATAGATTCCTAGGACATCTATCGAGTTTTTTAATTTTCACGTCGAGTATTCGTGGTGGCGTCATTACGGCGCCGTTACGTCATTGCATCACGTGATCCGCACCGGCGCGGGTTACAAAATGGATTCCTCCAAGCAGACAGATGGAGCGGAGCTGGCCCAGTCTTGGCAAACAGGTAAAAATGCATCAATAGTCTGGAAATATTTCACTAAAGATGAATCGTCCGGTTCAACTACCGTAAGGAAACAGAAAATGAATCAACTTCCTGACTGTTTGGAGCTCGTTGTGAACCGGTGTTACACCATATTCTGTGACCACCATATATTGTGACCGTAGGAAGCGGTGTTGCATGCACTGTTGCAGGTCACAGAATATGGTGTAACACCGGGTACAATGACCGAACCAAAACCAGCTTCCTCTGACCTTGTTTCACAAACTAAAAGCAAAAAATATTAATCTCTAAACCTATAAAAAAAAAATACAAACATATTAATCTCTAAAACTAAACCTAATGTGCACCACAGCTGGCGGTGGTGGGGAGTGGTCGACCACCCCACTGTTTTTAGTTTTGTTTTTTTATGTGACGCATGTTTCTTTTACTTTTGCAGCTTAATAATAATAATAATAATAATAACTAATAGTTTTTGTTTTTCCTGTGACTTATTTGCAGTATGATAAATGGTAGGAGCGTATTATATGCTCCCAATGTTTTGTTGGTCTTTTTTTGTAAATAATTACCTTTTTTGCAGTTTTATTTATTTTTGTATCTTTAGATCCTATGATGTCATCAAGTACTCGAGTTCTACTCAGTTTTATGTTAATGTTGAGTTTAAAAATTATGTAGTCGTTCAACCCCTATTTCAGTGCACTTTACAAAGAGGGTAAACAAGTTAATTACAAGTCAAACTAAAATAATAATAAAATAAAATACAACCCAATTCAATCATCATCTGCAATATAATACTAATTCCTAAAATAAATAAATAAAAACTATCAAATCTATATTTTTAACTCGCACCCACACTGACAGTTGTAAAAGCAGCTGAAAACAACAAACCTTTGCTCTGTCTTTAATATTCTGACCAAACACAAAAGATGACTCCGTTTTGTCTCTTCTGTCTCCATCTTTGTTGTCACTAGCTTCATCTTCCTCATTTTCGTGCTTCTGAAAACAGGAACCAAAAACACAGCAGGGTCAACTTCCATTCTTTTTCCAGCTAACACGAGTTCAGCATGAAGGCAGTGCACATTAGGTTTAAATGCATGTACGTTCACCATCAACATTCACTTTAATTGCAGACTATTTGATATTTCTAGGCTTTTTCAGCATGCTTCATTCATTTTCGCAACAAGGCAAAATTACTGGAAGTTACACTTTCTACAGTGCCGATCTAAACACATGGGTATCATACTCCTACTACCAACACAGACCGTTTCAACACTGTTTGGCTCTCCAACACAAGTCTGTGTGCAGCAGAAAAACATTCCACTTTATCAGTGGTATACTGCAATATAGCAAGCCCATCAACCAGCTTACCGGTCCTAAAAACAGCAAATGTTCCTAAATATTACAACAACTGAAGCAATTAAAAGTTGATACTGCAGCATTTAATGTGTCGACCAGCCTATTTCATATGCTGCTGTAAAACACTGCATCGTTCAGTGATGTTGGGACTTTCTTAATGTTAGTGCTTTGAAAGCATCCCAAACGTACTGAAAGGTATCATTTAACTTAATAACTTTTTAGAACAACATGATTCTGAAATAATTTTATATTTGTGAAAAGTTGCTCAGGCAAAACTACCTAATCATTTATAGCAACGCATGGTCACCATTAACACAAAAAGCCACTATGTTTTTTTTTTTTATACCAATTACCTATAAACAGTTGGGTTATTTTAATGCGTTAATCCTCATGTGCAAATAAATAAAAGGTCTGCTGTCACACAGACAATGACAAGAGATAAAAAAAAACTGCTGCTGGGGAATATAAAGATCCTCAGCAGAACACTTTTTTAGTCTCAGCTTGACTTGAGGTTTAGCCAGTTCTCACCATCGACTTGGCCAATGTAGCCGAGTGCTCTTTATTGTTCAGGAAGAGGGACGGGGTCACAAGCGATTCATCTGATGACTTTTTCACACCATTTGTTCCACAACTGGAATCTACAGTGATGAACGGATAAAAGAAATTCAGTTGTTTTTTTCCGTTCACCTAAAAAAATGTACTTGAAAACACAGAAAAAGGATTTATGACAGCAAATGAGTAGCACTGTGGCAACAATAAACATACAGAGTAGACATCAATATTTTTCTATAATCAAACTGTTAAATATATATATTTTTAGCTGCTTATATTCTTATTCTATTACCATTATAGTATAGTAGTCCTTTTATATTTTTTAACCACCTGTTCATTCGAGTTGTAAATAATATAATTTAATATACAAACCATTTACATGTATTATCCTGGCTATTAATATGCCTAGAAACAAGTATTACTAAAACATTTCATCTTGTAGTTTTACTTGTCGCTCAAAATACATTTAGCCACATGTGAGAAACAGTCAAATTTGTACCATTTAAAGTAATTTAGGTGTACTTACTGGACTCTATATGCGATTTAGAGGCTGGCGCCTGGAGAACTGCAGGGCGGAGGACACTGCGTTGCTGCTCCTTGGGTTTCTGACTCGGTACACCTAAAACAGACAACCAAATATATAAAAGCAATCAACTGTTTAGAGTCATTTGTAAAATAGTCAAGGTCTGGGGTAAAGTTCATTAGTCTTATATTATTATTTTCGCACACTAATAGCGTGACAGTGACAAACACCTACCAGAACTTGGTGCTTGTCCATGTATGAGAGTTGGTGGTTTTAAACGAAATCCCACAGGTTTCTCCTCTGGTGAGAATAAGCACAAAAGATGAGAAAGATTAAAACATTTAACGACTCACAAACCAACAGAATACAGATATTCTTTTGTCTAATTCTTCTCTAAATGCAGAGAGTGACTGCAGCAACCCTACAGTGATTCATCCATTTGTGGTTCAGTGGCATGGCAAACTTTTTGGTCTCTGATCATTATCAACCAGTCTCCCTGACGTCTTGCTTTTATGGACTGCAAGATCTGGCCTACATCAGCAGTAAAGCAAAAAGTGTACAAATTCTTCTAAACATTGTACTTCTATTGACTTTAGCAACACACAAAAAAACCTACAGGGTCTAGTTGATACTATGATTAAACACCTTCCAGTCAGTTTACACCAAGTTGTGTGAGGCTTGAATGGCACATTTACTAATAACTGCCTTTAAGTGCTCTGCACCCAACATGCCCTAATCGAACAACTACGTTTTTAATGTCACAGCATCACATATTGCAATAAATGTTGGCAAGCACGAACGTTATCTGTTACCACCACAAAAGGGACAGACAATGATTCTGATGGAAAAAGCTACAACTGTGAGGTTTGAAACACAACTACAACAAGGGGCTTGTTGGCTATCTGTATATTTGCTGTAGTAGGTTGTTGTGTTTACATTTTTGTGGTCACAGTTCACGTGCGTATCTTGCAGCAGATCTCTCTGGGCTGTTTATTCAGCTTTAGAAATCTGTCCCACTTCCAAATCCCAAATGCTAGATGACCTCACTTTGCTGTAATTTCTTTGACTTACTGGAACATTTAACATTTCTGTCACTCATTTTTGAAGAGTGTGCCTGAATTCTTTCCTAGGTTTTGACGCAACAACTGTCAATTATGTCACTTTTTTTTAATATTGCAAATTAGTTTAGGCCAAAATGAACAACAGCTACAATTGCAGGAAATTAATGACAAGTTTATAAATTACCAATATTTTCATATCTCTATAACCTTAGCCAAAATTATTTTTTTCTTCTAAAGTTTTCACATAGCACAAGTGCAAAATGCAAAACGGGACATAGTGAGTTTTACCAAAGTAAGCTCTCAAATCGAAGTACTGAACCAGAACACCAAAGACTGACCACTTCTACTGAACCAGACGAAGCAAAGACGACAGCGGCACCTGTTCTGTTCCCACATTTCGGAAATATACCCAAAGACCCACTAAAAGTACTTGAGAACCAAATCTTGGTACTACTTTCTAACTGGCGATCAGAAGATTTACAGTAACTCATCTGACAGCAACCTTTTATACAAGATTTACACAGAATAAGCCTTGGTGGCACACTTGCACATGACGGTGACGGTTCAAAATAAGTTTAACATTAAATGTTATTTTTCCTAGAATGTCAAAACTGTAAAATACTATTTTCCCCCATTACACAAAACACAATACGGATCAATTAAAAACAAGAATATTTGATTCACAATTAAAAAATTATAACCCAGTGCCACCTCACTTTCATTTCTGGTAAACGATAATGCTGTCAAAAGTTAAAATGCATAAAATACTTTAAGACAAACACATTTATTGCCATTTAAATATCATATAGTAATAAATCAAGTGACTTTAAAGTAAAAAATATGATATGAAAAATTTTCATTAAAGAGAGGATACAGCTGAAATTATTAAAAGTGAACAAGAGCAATACAAACTAATGCTGTTGCATCAGCCACAGGCAGCAACAGCTGCTTTGGCAAAGCCATGAACAGAAAAGCCACAGTTAGCTGCCGCCAAAACTGTTAGACCCAACTGTTGCTGTAATGTGCAGCACGATAAGCACTGCGAAACAAAAAACTATATAACCTGTAGTAAATTAAGTGGTGTTACAACAACGTAATAATTTGAAGTATTGAAATTTGTTTAATGTCCCCACGAGAGAACATTTTTATTACCAACTCTGCAGTGAGGAGGAACAGAGAAACAGTAAAGTTTTAGAAGGTAATCGATCAGGTCAACGTCTGAGACACGTATACAACTTTTAGATAACTGTTTAACTGAAAACAAGGCTGATGGAAACGCTTCATTTATCATCTTTGTCAATAAAGACTGAAGAAGTCTTTCAGATGAAAGACGAAACGTTTCTTTTTTTTTTTTTTTGGTTTTGTTTTTTGAATGTCCAGAGGACCAGACTTAACTTTTTTTTAGATTTTTCTACCTGGATTATTGAGCATGCATCAGGAAATCACATGAAAGTTTACTGAGCAGAGAGCATGGGGGTGACATTTGAATGAAGGAAATGAACAATGCTGACCAGAAATAATTATGAATTCAAAAAGAAAAATGATTGGTTCCATATTCTATTTAAATCTTTGAGTTTGCCAAGAGTTACAATAACATATTTATGAACACAAATTGAACAATTTAAATTTTTTGATTTAAAAACTTACTGCAGGATGTCTGACAACTTAAAAGAAAATAAATTGTGGTCTGGTTGGCTCACCTGGCTCAGAGTCAGAGTTCCCAGTTGGAGACTGGCTGATACTTGAGGGCATGAATACATTGTTCTTGGTTACTGCAAAGTAGGAGGCAGACACTGCGCTCAGCATACAAATCCTTGTGTACACCACAATCAAGGACTAAGGGTATAAAAAAAAAAAAGTTAATTCTCTACTAAGTTCTTATAACAAGCCCTTACCAGAATGTGGGGGTGGGAATGATGAGGTCCTTTCCCTTTTTACAGGAGGACAATAGCTTCCTTCATCTTTATCTGAATCTGAAAGTGATAGAATATTTTATTAAATTATATTACAATATCCAAACAGATATAATAAACACATAACAAGGAAGGCTGTGATTTTTTTTTTACCTTCACCATCTTCTGCACTTGAGCCCTCAGCAGAACGCTGCAAGAGAGAGCAATATTTTATGTATTTATTAGACATGAAAGAGGTATCCAACAAAACAGTTTAAGCTTGTTTAACTACACAGCCAGTCGATTTTTTTCCTAAATGTATCAAATCAAGCAAGGTATTAACTTTCCATTAGAGCATTATAACAGGCTGTGAAGTTTTAAATTTAAACATTTTCTTGTGGAAAATATACTGTTATAGTTCAATATATATTTTTTTCTGTCTACAAATACTATATATAAAACTAGAAGTGATAACAAGGTTGAGTCAGGTCCTCCAGACAGAGGATCTGACTCAACCTTGTTAGGTTTAGCTACCTGGATTATTGAGCATGCATCAGGACATTTAGAAGTGACATAGGCAATAATACACACATACATACACACACACACACACAAAATGTACCTTCTGCACTTTCTCTTTTTGGAAAACAAACACAGGAGGCGCAATGGCAGGCTTGTCTGTTAAGAAAGAAAATATGCTCATCATCAAAGCACTAACCTAAAGTGTGCAGTACAGTAATCTTATTTATTTGAATGTCTTCATTTGCAGCTGAAAACATCAGTTACAACAAAAAGGGAGGGACACTGGTTTGCTGATATTTTTTAAAAACAAGATTATACGTATCATTGCTCAAATCATCACTTAAACAGCAGAGAATTGGTATGAACAGTGAAGATAAAGGACAAAAACCAAAAGGTAATCAAAAAATATAAACACCTGAGCATCTAGTATATTAAAGATTGAATGATGTAGTCACTACACTATAAAAATGTTATAGCTTCTGAAATTTTTAACAAAATATTAATACAAAAATGTCTAGAGTAAAATGGCTTTAGTGGTAACTAGCGCTACCAAATCAAAAAAAGTTAAATCTGGTCCTCTGGACATTCAAAAAACAAAACAAAACAACAAAAAAAGTAGAAACGTTTCGTCTTTCATCCGAAAGACTTCCTCAGTCTGAGGTGAGGAAGTATTTCGGACAAAAGACGAAACGTTGCTACTTTTGTTGTTGTTTTGTTTTTTTGAATATCCAGAGGACCAGATTTAACTTTTTTAGATTTTTCTACCTTGATTATTGAGCATGCATCAGGATAGCGCTACCAAAATGAATCGCACAACTTAATTAAGAGTTTCTGCTCAAATAAGTTTGTAAATCTAATATGAATTTAAAAAAATAATGTTTGCATAATCTTTCAATCAATGTGTTTGTACAAAAAGCAACAAGCTACTTTTGCAATTTTGAAAAAAAAAATAAAAAGATCTTAGAAAGCTGAATAAGCTAAGCTTTTAGGAGTTGTTATACCCTAAAAGAGAAGCGATCACCAAGCTGGGTGATAAATAGGAGTCGTCTCAAGCCATTAAAGCATCTAGCTTAAGGCTGTATCCTCTGAAAGATGGGCAGTGCTGTAACGTTATCAGACAAAAGGTTCTCCTGGCGTGAGTGGGCCTTTTCCTTGTCAGGTGTAGCATCAATGTCGTTGTGAGTCTTACCGATGAACGTGGACATGGTTGCGATATCAGCCTATCCAAAACACACAGCAAGGCTGTGTTACAATCACTGTCTTAACATACCCTCGTGCAGCTTGCTGTATGAAACACGTTTAGCACAAGAATGCGTGAAAAAAAATCTTTGTGCCCTATATTTATCATCTGTACAGGTTTAGCTTTTCGGCTTGCAATCAGCTAATATAGCTCATATACGTGGAGATCCCTGCACGCAACCTCGGATATTTACTTCTGGCATTGAAGTTGCCTAATGTATTCCCAGCTCGCATTAACCAGCGATCTGACCCTTTCCATTAAATAGTCGCCGCCACCAGCTTGCAGGCTATGGTTAGCTTGCTAATGCGCTCCATCTCGCATGAGTCATCTTCGTTAACCACGTAAGCCACCAATATTAGCTCTAAATGCACTTACAGCCTACATGAAAATCACCAATTAACCGCTAAATAAGTTTTTTAATTTTATTACAAAAATAAGCAGTAAAACATTGTCTGTCCGGCCATTTTTCACTCTACGCGCCTAAATAAACGCCAGACGACTCAACTGCGAGCTAACTACACTGACAAAATTTCGCACCACTGACAAGGAAATCAGTGTTGCATTAATACACTTTAGGATATGCAGCTTGTGGGATTACGTTTATGTTTACAGAAAATTGTGAAATAGCCACAAATGGTGAGACTCGCTATCTATTAATAGCCACATGCTAGCGCTAAATCATAAGCCGGCTAGCCGCTGTTCCAGGTATTATCCTAAACCCAATCATTAGCATTGTTAGCTTGTTTGCTAATGTTGTTTTATCCAGACAGCGCGACACTTCACCTGAAGTCACAATTCACAAGCGAACAAGAAGCTTTATTTAAGTTGCCACGACTGCGAATAAAATAAAATGTAGCCTTTATATCGCCACACGGTCAGTTTTGCTTTTCCCACACTGCTACTTTACTCACCTTCGTTTGCCAAGTCCGCCATTTTACTTCGACGCTCACACACCCACAACCCACCGCGCAGATAACACAAGCCGAGGCAGAAAGGTTTTCAGGGAGGCCCAGGAGCCCCAAAAGGCAGGGGTCCTGTATTTTTTTATTTATTTTGTTTACCAAAATACACTCCACAAATAAATTAAGACTATAAAGTAAAAGTAAATTGCCACAGTGAGTCAAAGTGTTTACAAAATAATCTTTTTGCCAAAAAGACAAAGAGATGTAAAACAAAAAAACAGGCACAAAACATGTCTTCGTCCACATGGCAAACCAAGATGTTCCTGTTTTGAGAAACAATTCAAAATTAACTATAAAAATAGCAAAAAACTCAAAGTTGTGGTTCACTTTGGGCTCTATGTTAGTTTGTTTTCATTGTTTTGTTGGTCTGTTTTGTGTTCATGTTACATTGCTCTCTGTTTTTAGTCACACACTGGCCCAGTTTGGTTGTTTTGTGTCGAAAACAAGTCTTTTTTTTTGTTGTTTTCTGCTTCTGTGAGCTCATTTATTGCCATATTTTAAATATTTTGTGGTAATCATCCATCTGTTAAGGGAACTTTGAACCGCTCAAGGGCAACTTGCACGTTTGTTTAGCTTGTTTTGGGATTTTTGCATCACATTTGCATCTCATTTATCCACTTTTGTTGACTTAACTGAGCTATTAAGTTTTATTATAAGGCAAGGGAAAATAGGCCTCATCAAAAGTCATTGCACAAATGCAACCCTAAAAACAAAAGTAAATTTAACGATATAGAATGTTGACAAACGTTGCTCAACAACACATGTGTAACTAACATTAAACCATTTTTGCAATATGGGAAATGACATAAACATAAACAGAAAAGACAAAAATGGCAAGGAATATGATGCACAACCACAAGATGGCCTATGTGAAAACACTCTCCCATTCAAAAGAAAAAGGAAGACAAATAAAAATCAACCAGATGTTGATGCAAAATGGTAATAAAGAGCACAAAATGGGTGCAAAGAGGCATGAACCAGCTTAAATGACAAGCAGAAAAGACACAATGACCCGAAAAACATGCAATGACAAAAACAATTCAAGATTTCAAGAATGTGTCTACATAAAATGTAAAAAAAAACCAAAGAGAAACAGAGTAACCATACTTTTACAATATACACTACGGGACATGCACCACATGCAAAAGTTGTCAACTGGATACAGTTGCTTGTTTTTAAGGACGTTTTTTTTTATTTCTCTGGTTATGTGTGCCATTCTTTCTATTCCCATTTCTGTTGGTAAGCTACACAAAAAAGAAGACAAATTAAAATATTTGAAGGTTGTCATTGTGCTGGCATTTAAAATTTTAATTAAATACATTTTCAACTTACCTCAAGAAATAGGGTAATGTCTGTAGTTCACTTTTTACTAAAACAGCTTCTAGTTTTGGGAGAGGAGACCAGTGACCATACGTTAGTCCGATTCCGATCAGATTGTGAATATTGATTCATTGATCCACTTTGACATTTCTTTGTGCCAGCAGCTGTTTGTCTTCAGCAGTGTTCTACAAACAACAGCTGGTGGTGACAGTATGACAGTATGACAACTAACAGCATAAAAAGCAAACAAATAAGATGATAAATGAGCAAAATAGTAAAACAAAGTATATCTCTTTGTACGTTTGTCAGTAATGAGGTATAGATATACTATTAAGAAGGGCCTCTGAGCATGTCTAAGCTCAAAGAGCATTCTCAAAGCATTTTTATGATTTGAAACCAAGACTGAGAATAAGTTCAGAGACCCCGGTCAGTCCCCCTTTGCTCACTGGGACCTTCACGACGCAAGAGCATAATAAGTGTTGATTGAGTCACGCCACTGAAAAAAGGCTTATAGATTTAGGGATTATTGAGAAAAACAAGGATAACTCAAGGATTCTGACCTTTTTCGTGTTTCTTTCTGGAAACATTTGAAGAGGTTAACATTTTTGCAGCTTTGTTTTTGCACAGCTGGACACCGCTTGGGATGCAATGTCGTTTCTCTGCCGCTAGAGGGCAAACTGTCTTCATTCAGGATCTGAATTATGTATGTTTTGTATGTATGTTTTATTTATTCATTTCATTTCATCCAAACAACAAATATAATACAATTTAAAGAAAAGAAAAAAGATATACAATCACCGAAATAAAATGAAAGGCAGCAGAAGAAGAATGAATTCTTATAATATCTGCCCCTTGTCCCCAAAATATATTCCAAACAAAATTACTATACAAAAGCAAGATGAATTTATAAAAAAATAAAAAAGTAAAAAATAATTTAAAAAAAACTTAGCTAAAATATAAGATCAACTGTAAACAATTTTTATGAACTCACATTATACTTAATATTTTTTTTAAAAACAAATTTTATCATCCTCTTGAATATGTACATAGTTTTGGCATTTTTAATATCAACCTCCAGATCATTCCACAATCTAATACCCTGAGATATAGTGGATCGCATCTTCAGACTGGTGCGACACCACGGCTTCACAAACATCTCCATCCCCTTAAGATAATAATTACTTTCTCTTTTAACAAATTTCCCTTGAATGTTAGTAGGTAGTATGTTTTTGTTGGCCCCATACATAAACAGTAAGATATTGTAATCAACCAAGTCATAAAATTTTAATAACTTTAGCTGAAGAAACAATATATTTGACAGATGGTTATAATCTTTTCTGGTAATAATTCTTATGGCTCTTTTCTGTAAAATAAAAATTGGATTTGTAATTGTTTTACATGCTTTACCCCAGACTTCAATACAGTAAATTAAATGTGGAACAATAATGGCATTATACAATAGAAACATTGCTTTATCATTGAATAACTCTCTAACTTTGTACATTACTGCAATCGATTTAGCTATTTTAGTTCTTAAGTTTTTTACGTGAGATCTCCATGTTAGTTTTTCATCAATGATGACACCCAGAAATTTCACCTCATTGACTCTATTAATTTCAATTCCATCGACTCTAAATGGAGTATCAAGCACTTTCTTGTTATTACTAAAAATCATATAATTTGTTTTCTCAACATTTAAAGATAATTTGTTTAGTTTAAACCAATTTTGTATTTTCACAAATTCTGTTTGTGCCATCTTCAGCATTTGCACAACATTTTCACCCACACAAAGAAAAGTAGTATCATCTGCAAACAAAATACATTTAAAAAATCCAGTCACATTTACCAGGTCATTCACATATAAAATAAATAGCTTAGGTCCAAGTATAGAGCCTTGAGGCACTCCACATGTAATATTACAGAATTCAGATTTTACATCATTTATTTGAACAAATTGTTTCCTTTTTTCTAGATAACTAGATACCCACTGCAATGCATGCCCTCTAATACCATATTTATTTAGTTTTTTGAGAAGAATATTGTGATCAATAGTATCAAATGCTTTCTTTAGATCAACATAAATACTAATACAATATTTTTTTTGATCCACAGCAGTCGTTATCTGTTCCATTAAATCCATGAGTGCCATTGACGTAGAATTTTTAGGTCTAAACCCATATTGACTATTACTTAATATATTTTGCTTATTGATAAATTCATCTAATCTAGTGACAAATAATTTCTCTAAAATCTTCGAAAACTGTGGCAACAACGATATTGGCCTGTAATTATTAAACACACGTTTCTCTCCACTCTTATATAATGGTATTACCTTGGCAATTTTCATGTTATTTGGAAATACCCCTGTTGAAAATGATAAATTGCATATATATGTAAATGGCTCAATAACATAACTCATAATATTCTTTACAAGCATCATATCCATGTCCATCCAGTCTTTTGATTTTTTATCTGCAAGATGTTTTACGATAGTCATAATTTCTTCTTTATCAGTTCCCCCAAGAAAAAAACTGTTTGTGTGATCTGTAACCGTATGGTTTACATTTTTATCTGTATTTGGGATTTTTGCTGCCAGACTTGGGCCAATATTCACAAAATGTTCATTGAATCCATTAGCGATTTCATTTTGGTCATAAATGTCTTTGTCATCTTTTACAAAATATTGTGGAATGCTCGATTTTGTTTTATGATTATTCAGAACACTGTTCATTATTTGCCATGTTGCCCTCATATTACCATTACTTTGGTCTAATAATTCACTGTAATATTTCTTTTTATGCTTTCTTATAATCCCTACCAATTTATTTTTATAATTTTTATATCTCTGTTCTGCTTCGTTTGTTCTTAATTTCAGAAAGTTTGAGTATAAGTAGTTCTTTTTTTTACAAGCATTTCTTAACCCTTTGGTCATCCACGAATTAAGCACAATAATAAATATATTCTACATCACTCTCTAAGGTGCAACAATCAAGGGCTTTGAAAATGTTAATGTACTTTGACATAACATAACATGACATAACATCTTTCAGTTTTTCCCTCTTCAGGGGTCTCCACGGTGAATCATCCTCCTCCTCCTCTACATCCTCACTCCAACTACCTCCATGTCCTCTCCAACTGCATCCATACATCTTCTCTTTGGTTTTTGTTTTTTGTTTGTTTTTTCCTGGCAGCTGCATTTCTAACATCCTTTTACCAATATACCCACTGTCCCTCCTCTGGACATGTCCAAACCATCTCAGTCACACAACCTGTGTCGTTTATGGTAGTTTTGTGCAATATATACCATGTGCATTTAAGCTTATGTTACTACCTGTGAAATCTAATTCATACAAATTCACTCTACTTGCACCATTATATTCTACCATGTTGTTGTTTACTATATTCCTTTTGGACCTTGTAAATATTATATTTCTTTTTCACTTGTTTGTACTTTTGTACCCTTATTGCATGCTTTAGTATTTCTTGTTTGTTTGTTTTGGTTTTAGCGAGGTTCTTCTTATCCTGAACATTTCATTGCATCGTTGACCTGGTGTTAACCTGCATATGACAAATAAACAACATAACATAGTTTGGTCTTTCTAACTTTATCTCCCAGTTGTTCAACCTGTGCTGTACCTGATCTAATTTTTTTAATCTTATCCAACACA